GGGCTTCACACATTGTACCCATGTGGGGAATTGAACCCGGGTCTTCGGCATGATGAGCGAATGCTTTAACCACTTACTAAGGCTACCCCACTGCCCCTCGGTACCCTAATCATATTCCGCTTTAGATAGTGGGTGGACCATTGGTTGAGGTGGTTGCTTGTCCGGATGACAAGGGTTTAGTTCTCTGCATGAATACAAAATGTGATTCATTAAGTTTGTCCTAATAATGGATATGAATGCAATGCTTCATAAGCAAAACTCATTTGCAGTTGCTTATTTCTTCCCAAAGAGGGGAGGTGGGGTAGCGTAGTGGTTAAGGCGTTCATTCGTCACACTGAGGACTGGGGTTCGATTCCCAACATGGGTACAATGTGTGAAGCCCATTTCTGGTGACCCCTGCTGTGATATTGCTGGAATATTGCTAAAAGCAGCATAAAACTAAACTCACTCACTCATTCTTCCCTAAAGATATCAGTTTGGAACAAATTTATATCAAAGTTGATAAAGAAATAAATCACAAGATATTATTTGTTCTTTGATAACGTACTGTCACTTTAACTCTGACCAGAATCCTCTCAAGTGTTTCTTGTTTTGTTTAAGAAATAAAGTTATGTATTTGTTCTGTATGTTATAAAGTTTTGTGAAACATCCAATATATACTGACAATATTAGCACCCATGTCATGAGTCCACATGGGTCTGTGAGATGAGTGTGTGAATTTATACCACCCAAAGCAAACCGGGTCACGGCTGATAACCTTTCAGGTCAGGGGTCATCTCCAAATACCTCAAACAAGATAAGCAGGGCAACCTGGGGATCGTCTCAAACATACCATTGCTGAAAAATAGAAATTTTTAATTGTATAGGAACATCCAGACAGTGTCCAAACATCAACATAACTAGTTATAAAGGAGAGTTATTTAATCTGACACAGAGTAGCAGGAACGGTTCTTTGGGTCTAGGTGAGGTGAGGTGAAATTGGGTTTAACGTCGTGCTTGAGAATATTTCGCTCATATGACGACGTGCATGCGGGTGTGTGTGTGTATGTGCGGCTGCTTGTACTAGCCCAGACTGAAGCTGGTTTTATAGTGCTAGCCCACTGAGATACCATGCCGCAGTGAAGCATGAATACCCCACTCCGATTATACTGACTCCGAGCCGACCAGTCCTTGTTATACCCATTAATGCAGAGCACCAGACAGGGACCAACAAGTACCATATTTTAATGTCTTTTGGTATGACGCGGTCGGGGATCGGTCTAGAGAAGGGACAAATATTTTCTTTGCCAATGTTCTGTGAATGAAAAAGGAAAATACTTTGGCAGAAGGTCTAAGTGGATTTCTGAATGGATAAAGAATAACCAAACTCCAACTTTTAGCCTTCCATTAGGCACCATTAGCCTGCATAATCACTGGATGCCATTCAGCGTCAGCGATCCAACCAACTGGGTTTCGGACCAGCAAAGGAGTATTTCATTGAAAACCAGCTAATATCCTTGAACTCTCATATTCGATCGGGTTTATGCTTATGAAAATTTTTCACCTAGCAAATGTGTGTAAATGTACATGTACTGTTATGTACTATAGTATACAGGAATTACTTGTATGTAATATGTTTGGAAGTTCACTTAATGTACTGAAAACAGTGACAACTCTTACTTTGTAGGTAAATTGCATCTAATGCAACAATTACTGCTCCCTTCTTGTCATCCATGTTTTATCCAGTAAGCCCTACACTTGATGCATAGATAATGACTTTATAACAAGTATTTTTATTAAAGCAGATGGGAACACACCCACATCTGAATGGATATGTAAAAACAACATACACTGTTCAAAGGGGGTGGGTGGGTAGCCTAATGGTTAAAGTGTCCGCTCGTCACACAGAAGGTCCAGGTTAGATTCCCCACTTTGGTACAATGTGTGAAGCTGCCTTCTGGTGTCCAGTGTCGTGATATTGCTGGAATATTGCTAAAAGCGGCGTAATCAACATAAGGACTTGTTAAATGTCCAGCACATACCACATTCACGACATTGCTTTGAAATTAATAGGGTGTTAAGAGAGGTATCTCTTTTTATGCCTTAGGTATAAATATGCATGTTTTCCAAAAGGATATATGTTTGTCTCTTCAAACTGTGTATTATGAGAAAAAATGACTGAAACAGTTGAATATTGTAACCAGCCATAGATACCTTTTCTCACAGGTTAGAACTGGGTCTTAAGCAGCTCATGCTTGTCGCGAGAGGCAAAGGGCATCAGGTGATCACTGGCATAGATAAACCATGTATCCAATCGCACAGGGGGCGGTGGGGTAGACTAGTGGTTAAGGCATTCACTCATCATGCCGAAGACCCGGGTTCGATTCCCCACATGGGTACAATGTGTGAAGCCCATTTCTGGTGTCCCCTGCTGTGATGTTGCTGGAATATTGCCAAAAGCGGCGTATAACCAAACTCACTCACTCACTCACTCTGCACAGGTCGAGGCTCATGATGTCGACCACTAGATTCCCATGTTCAGACTTGATTATATATTGCTGTGAGCAGTGTTCACAAGAAACAAGTGTGCTAGACTGGGATGAAAATACAATAATTAATCTTAATAGAGTGGTTGGTCACCTGGAGACAGATAAAAGGCAATAGTATATATAGTGTTGTGGGGGACCCACTATGAATACAAGTGACTGCTTGAGAAATGGTTTGGCTCATAGCTAAAAAGTTTGCTCATGGCCCTAAACATCAGGTAGATTCAAGACATTGTTACACTTAGTGGCCTTTTCCTTGTGCTAGTGTTGGTTCAATGTGTTCAAAATTGTAGTAAAACTTTTATCACGAACCAAGTAATGATAAGGGTACCTACGATGGGTGCAGTGTCTGCAGTGTAGATACATTACGGCACAAGTGTCGGAACACTCAAAATGCATCACAGACAATTACTTAAGTTGATGGCATATTTAAATAGTAGGGCTGCACAAATCTGCTATGAGGCGAAAACAATCCACGAATTTGTGGTAATGATTATGAATATTGTTCACAAATAATCTAACGTGACTAGTTGCTGTTTTATCTATTATATCCAGTCAGATATCCAGTAATGATATAATAAAGGTGTGTTGACTGATATCCTGCCTGGTTTAGATATATTGACCCGTGAAGGTCCGGGATAGAATGAACCTTCAGTAACCCATGCTTACAAATAATTCTTTAGAGGGACAATTACTAACGGGATTGATTGGTGGTCAGGCTTGCTGGATTGGTTGACACATGTCATGGTTCCCCATTGCGCAGGTTGATGCTCATGCTGTTGATCACTGGATTGTCTGGTCCAGACTAGAATGAACCTCGATTATTTACAACGGGACAGGCCGCCTTGGTTGACATATAGCTGGAATATTGCTGAGTGCATGCGTAAAACTAAACTCACTCAGACTCTCAGACCTTTTGTATACTATTGCTTTTGCTTTGATATATAACAAACTTTGAGACATTTGAAGTAAAATATACTAAAAATGGTTGTGATTATTTGATTCCAGTGACGCATGAATGCATGAAAGAATACAGTTCAATTTACCAAATAAGTGCTTGAATGGCAACAGCCCTAGTAAATAAGATTAAAATATAACTGAATCATCAGTTTTATATCCAACACCAGTATAAATATATAGGTCACAATCAGTTGTTTGTGCCTTGAAAGCATTTCCCTCCCGAGTAGCTTGCAAGAGTTGTCTCCCTTCACTTTGCTTCAAAATTACAGCTGTTCACATGGTACAGAGATCAATGCCAATATTCACTTGGAGTTTGTGATGTCCAATTAGATGAACATTTGAACTTGTGACGCCATTTAAGAATAATGTTTTTGAAGTTTTCATACTTTAAATAACAATATTTCACTAAATATTTGGAAGAGTAATAATTTCAGTGTGTGTCCATGTTGAAGCACCTGTAAAATGACTGTAAAATAATTCCCAATTATGAAAATAGATATGATTATCATAAACAAATAAATAAAAAGAAAATGTTTTATTGATCAGTTGTATGAAAGATTGTCTATGATTTTATTATATTCATCCAAAAGTGTATGGAAATCTATGGGCCTTACTTGTGTTTTGTTTTAACCTCCCAAAGGAAAGTACCTCTATGTTAAACAATTATGTTTTTGTATAAATCAACCTACTCGCGTATTTGCAAAACCCTTCTTCTGATGACAAAGAAAGCCTATCATATTTACTATTCTTCTTCACGTGGGTCATGAGAATTGTCATATTTTGAAGGATATTAATCTAAATTGGTTTGACTGTTTTCTTAGAAATAATGAATTCACCCAAACAAGGGCAAACAATATACAGAGATTCCAAAATGTTTCTTTAAGAGCTTAAGCCAACTTTGATATTGTTCCTTCACACAAACATTGTCTTGAAACTTTTGTAGTAAAACTTGAAGAAGGTCATAGAAATTTCTGAATGAAGCATTCATAAAATAATGGAAACTGAACAAATATTATCTGTTTAGGAATTATTTTACATCAATTGATGGATAATTCTTCAGTGTCAGAGTAATAGAAATTTAATATTTTTTGTAATTCATTAAGTCAAGTGATGATGTTCAAGGATAATGACCAGTGATGATGTTCAGCGATATTTTCCATTGATAATGTTCATTGATAATGTTCAAGGATATTGTTCAGTGAAAATGTGTAGTGATGTTCAAGGATAATGTTCACTGAAAATGTGCAGTGATGTTCAAGGATACACAAATATCAAGTGATGTTCAGAAATGATGTTCAGTTTCATGTTTAAAATGCTTTCACATCACCATATTACACAAGATGGCTGCTGTTTTTATGATAAGAAAGTAAATTATGTAATTGTCCCTTCCTACTTCAGATGAGGAATAATTTGTTATTTATCATTTGCTTTTCATGATATCTATTGAAGGTAACTTTCTGTAACTATGACTTCACCAAACTGTTGTCTAATGACCCCTCTGCCTTCTTCCTCCAGGTCTACGAATATCTCGACCTCCAAAGAATGAGACAGTGTTGAAAGGTGTTCGACTGGAAATGCACTGTAAAGCCCGAGGCCAACCACCTATCAAAGTCAAATGGTACCACAACGAAATGGAAATGATCCCGGAAACGTCCAACTACAACATAGCCCGTCAGTCTGGGACGTTACGTTTCTTCAAGGTCATGGTGGTCGACAGAGGAACGTATCACTGCAAGGCCTCACAACCCACCCTAGGGACCTTTGTGGTGTCAGAAACCGTCCATCTCACTGTTCATGGTAAGTAGAGTTGTCTCCCTTGGACTGGCTCGAATTCCATGGGTTCGAAGCCTCTTTGCTGGGTTCCATGCATCTTAGGGACAGGAGTGGCTCAGTCACCTGGAGTACCTCCCAGTGCAGGGTTGTGTTTGTTTGGTGTGCCAGAAATTTAATCTATGATCACGTTTTTGAATCCCAGATTTGCACAGATTATGTTTCTTTGCAAGACAGCACGTAGATTTGCACAAGTCTCTAAGGTAATAATTAATAGTTTGAAGTATAATTTCTAGAAAATATAAACGACAGACTGGTGTCCTTAGACTGTGCGCTTATCTAGACTTGCCTCTTTAGAGGATACACATAGGTACAATGTGTGAAGCCAATTTCTGGTGTCCTCTGCCGTGATATTGCTGGAATATTGCTAAAAGCGGAGTAAACTAAACATCACTCACTCAAAGTCTTTAAAGGATAGAGTTACTATACATGCATGGGCTGTGTTAAAACCCAATGCACTGAAATATGTGAAGCCCTTACAATCTTTGATACAAATTAGTTTCAAAGGATATTTTACCAACACATTGGAGAAAAAATGAATAATTTTGGTCAGTATGCACACAATTTCATATAGTCATTTAGTTTCATGACAACGTATGGTATGGATTTACAACTTCTTTAATATAAACAACACAACATTTCTGGGTTACTTCTTGCCCCTCCATTCACCTAATGAAGGGGCAAGAAATAGCCCAGAAAGGTCGTGTTGTAAATATTAAAGAAGTTGTAGATTCATACCATACGTTGTCATGTTACCTTCCAACTTCGAAATGCCCATCAAGCTTCATTTAGTTTAATCAAATGTTCAAAATATGTTTTGGTAGGGCCTTTATTCATTTACTGTGGTGATACAGGACATATCTAGGTCTGTCAAGGGGCTGATATTCAGCTCAGAAATATCTACACCAATTTCAAAATGGGACAGACAATTTTCCTTGTCATGTTTATATAGTTATAACATTTGTTGTATACCAATAATATTGGTCGGGGTGTTACGACAAGACCAGTGTAAGAGAAAGTTTTCATGCTTATTTTTGAATTATTTTATTGAATGCAATTTTATGTTGAAACACCTCGTAAAATGGGAAAATATTAAGTTTAAAAGAATGAAATTTGAATGAAAATAACAACAGAATCCCAGTCTGCAGGTCAAGAACAAATTAGTCTGGAAAGAGATTTATCAAGTTTTTATCATGTCATGTATTGTATTGTGTTGTGACCTTGCAACGAAGGGAGTTGTCATACCACAATTACAGGCCTCACTTCAGTAAGCTTTGTCATCATATTACTATCAGTTACATAGAATTGGTCTTCACCAACCCATGCTTATGGTAAGAGGTGACTAATGGGATCGGGTAGTCAGGCTCAATGACATGATGGGCACATGTCATTGCATTCCAACTTCAGGATGTCAATCACTGGATTGTCTGGTCCAGACTTGATTATTTACAGACTGCTGGAATATTGCTGAAATTGACATTAAACAACAAATAAAAAAACAAGAGTTACTAAAGAAATTACTTTATTACTTTTTAAGGTATTATGTAAGTTTCATTCTGTTTGTCCATGTTATGTTGCAGCTCCGGTTGAGATTACCAACAATTTCCATGGGAAGAGAGTGGAGCCAGCGGGTAAACTCATCACGATTCAGTGCGAGGCAGCCGGGATACCTCTTCCTAGAGTTCAGTGGAGGATAAATGGAACTTCAGTAAGTGTACATTGTAGTCCTTTGTGGGTACATTATTTTGCTTGTCGTAAGAGACAACTTACGGATCGGGTGGTCAGGCTTGCTGACTTGGTTGACACATGTCATCTTATCCCAAATGCGTAGATCGATGCTCATATGTTGATCACTGGATTGTCTGGTCCAGACTCGATTATGTACAGACCGCCGCCATATAGCTGGAATATTGCTGAGTGCGGCGTAAAACAACAAACCAACCAACCGAGTAGATTACTGTTATAGCAGGGAAAGGTAGCATTACTGCATTTGTGTGTCCTGCTGATGTATCAACCATTAGGGCACATCTATGATGACTGTAACCTTCAGATTTAGCACTACTGTAGCTGTGCATCTGCTTGTCTGTTCATGAATAGATGCTCTCACTATCAACCTTTAGGTAATATCTAATGATCACTGAAGCTTCAAAGGTAGCATTACTGCAGCTGTGCATCTTGCTTCTTTTGTCATTATTTGATGCTCTCACTATCAACCATTAGGATATCTCTAATTGTTGTAACCTTCAAAGGTAGTCTTACTGACTTTTTGGTGTCCTTACCCTATATTAAATTGATGCTCTCACTATCAACCATTAGGACACATCTATTGATCACATTTACCTTCAGAGGTAGCATTACTGCATCATTGTCTCTTGCTTGTCTTTTTATGATGAAGTCCATTTCATGATATTGCTGGAATATTGCTAAAATTGTAAACCATACTCACTCACTCTCTCGTTTCATGAGTTGAAGCTCTCACTGTCAACCATTAGGACACATCTAATGTTCACTGTAACCTTCAGAGGTAGCATTACTGCAGCTGTGCATCCATGTGTCCATGATTAAATGCTCTTTTTATCAACCACCTGGTTTGTTCTGCCATCCCTAGTATTGGATATATACAATCTGTAGACATTGTAGTAATGATAACCAAACCACTCACTCACTCATGATAAACTGCACCATTTCAGCAAAGTCAGAATAAGTTTCTCAAGATTATGGTTACCACATGTCATAAGAATTCTATTGACTCCCTTGCTAATGAAACACATAATCTTTCTCTTCTTGTGAAAAACCAAATGTCAAAGACTAATTTTAAACTTATGTGCGACATCAATCAGATTTTGTTTGTTGAAAACATTTTATGCATAGTCTGGTTGTTAAATAACATCTGTGCTGCAGTTTTACTTGCAAACATTTAAGAAATATTTTTCCACTGTTAATGTACAGCCTCATTTCCTTCACATTTGCAATCAAGTAATAAAATATCCCAGATCCATAAAATTCAGGACAGAAACTGCTAGACAAATGTTGTCAATGTTGACTTTTGATCTTGGAGTTAAATTTTTCTTTAAGAAGTAAGAAAAGTGCCTCAGTTCATTCTTTGAATGGAGCGTGTTCATTTTCTGAAGTACTTTAACTCCTCAGTTGTTTCTCTCAGCTTCAGTTTTGATTCATTCAGCATCTGGTTTGTTTAGAAATGAGCCGTGTAAAAATTTCATTCTTAACCTTTCACTGCTTCTAGCATTTTGTATTCTGTGAGCACATCTGCAAGGTTTGAGGATTAGATAGAACAGGCAGAAATAGCATCATTTTCCTGGAGAAGAAGATAACATGCATGTCCTTGACAACACATGCTGGAACTGTACTGGACCAGAGGGACCTCTTAATGATTTGAACTTGGGGTTAATTGACAGGGGGAGGTAATGGGGAAATCTGTATAATGCATACCACAAGAAAAAACAATGGTGGTTTTAACATCAGTGACAGAAGAGATGATGAGTTGTCTTTGTGAAGGGATTGAAGGGAGGTGTGGTGATGGGGAAATATTCAGATGTGGTGTTGAGTGTTTTAACATCCTTCTTTGTCATGTTTTAGTGATGAAATTCTAATGTCACACAATGATGAATAGGTGAACGGAAAGATCTCATCTTGAGATGAGAGTTGGTGACTCATATTTTGAGTGCCGCTTTAGATTGCTAAATTTCATTACAAGTCCCATAGGTCCTAATGTTTCTAAGCCTCATGCTGATGTTCAACTATAAGACTTTAGGTTCCATCTCATACCCTGACATTCTTCTCCATGCCCTAATGTACTGTACTGTGCCCTGACTTTCCTCTCCATACCCCCCGATGTTCCACCCTGTTCTGACCTGTGCCCAGTGTTCCACCCTGTTCTGATCTGTGCACCAATGTTCCACCCTGTTCTGATCTGTGCCCAATGATCCACCCTGTTCTGACCTGTGCCCCAATGTTCCACCCTGTTCTGACCTGTGCCCCAATGTTCCACCCTGTTGTTGACCCTGTGATCTGTGCCCAATGTTCCACCCTGTTCTGATCTGTGCCCAATGATCCACCCTGTTCTGAAATGTGCCCAATGTTCCACCCTGTTCTGATCTGTGCCCAATGTTCCACCCTGTTCTGAAATGTGCCCAATGTTCCACCCTGTTCTGATCTGTGCCCAATGATCCACCCTGTTCTGATCTCTGCCCAATGTTCCACCCTGTTCTGATCTGTGCCCTCAATGTTTCCACCCTGTTCTGATCTCTGCCCAATGTTCCACCCTGTTCTGATCTGTGCCCCAATGTTCCACCCTGTTCTGATCTGTGCCCAATGCCCAATGTTCCACCCTGTTCTGATCTCTGCCCCAATGTTTCCACCCTGTTCTGATCTGTGCCCAATGTTTTCCACCCTGTTCAATGATCCACCCTGTTCTGATCTGTGCCCAATGTTCCACCCTGTTCTGATCTGTGCCCAATGATCCACCCTGTTCTGATCTGTGCCCAATGTTCCACCCTGTTCTGATCTGCCCAATGATCCACCCAATGATCTGTGCCCAATGATCACCCTGTTCTGATCTGTGCCCAATGTTCCACCCTGTTCTGATCTGTGCCCAATGATCCACCCTGTTCTGATCTGTGCCCAATGTTCCACCCTGTTCTGATCCAATGTTCACTGTAACCTTCAGAGGTAGCATTACTGCAGCTGTGCATCCATGTGTCCATGATTAAATGCTCTTTTTATCAACCACCTGGTTTGTTCTGCCATCCCTAGTATTGGATATATACAATCTGTAGACATTGTAGTAATGATAACCAAACCACTCACTCACTCATGATAAACTGTGCACCATTTCAGCAAAGTCAAAATAAGTTTCTCAAGATTATAGCTACCACATGTCATAAGAATTCTATTGACTCCCTTGCTAATGAAACACATAATCTTTCTCTTCTTGTGAAAAACCAAATGTCAAAGACTAATTTTAAACTTATGCGACATCAATCAGATTTTGTTTGTTGAAAAACATTTTATGCATAGTCTGGTTGTTAAATAACATCTGTGCTGCAGTTTTACTTGCAAACATTTAAGAAATATTTTTTCCACTGTTAATGTACAGCCTCATTTCCTTCACATTTGCAATCAAGTAATAAAATATCCCAGATCCATAAAATTCAGGACGAAACTGCTAGACAAATGTTGTCAATGTTGACTTTTGATCTTGGAATTAAATTTTTCTTTAAGAAGTAAGAAAAAGTGCCTCAGTTCATTCTTTGAATGGAACGTGTTCATTTTCTGAAGTACTTTAACTCCTCCAGTTGTTTCTCTCAGCTTCAGTTTTGATTCATTCAGCATCTGGTTTGTTTAGAAATGAGCCGTGTAAAAAAATTTCATTCTTAACCTTTCACTGCTTCTAGCATTTTGTATTCTGTGAGCACATCTGCAAGGTTTGAGGATTAGATAGAACAGGCAGAAATAGCATCATTTTCCTGGAGAAGATAACATGCATGTCCTTGACAACACATGCTGGAACTGTACTGGACCAGAGGGACCTCTTAATGATTTGAACTTGGGGTTAATTGACAGGGGAGGTAATGGGGGGGAATCTGTATAATGCATACCACAAGAAAAAAACAATGGTGGTTTTAACATCAGTGACAGAAGAGATGATGAGATTTGTCTTTGTCTCAACTTGGCCAAATATTCAGATGTGGTGTTGAGTGTTTTAACATCCTTCTTTGTCATGTTTTAGTGATGAAATTCTAATGTCACACAATGATGAATAGGTGAACGGAAAGATCTCATCTTGAGATGAGAGTTGGTGACTCATATTTTGAGTGCCGCTTTAGATTGCTAAATTTCATTACAAGTCCCATAGGTCCTAATGTTTCTAAGCCTCATGCTGATGTTCAACTATAAGACTTTAGGTTCCATCTCATACCCTGACATTCTTCTCCATGCCCTAATGTACTGTACTGTGCCCTGACTTTCCTCTCCATACCCCCCGATGTTCCACCCTGTTCTGACCTGTGCCCAGTGTTCCACCCTGTTCTGATCTGTGCACCAATGTTCCACCCTGTTCTGATCTGTGCCCAATGATCCACCCTGTTCTGATCCATGCCCCAATGTTCCACCCTGTTCTGACCTGTGCCCCAATGTTCCACCCTCTTCTGATCTGTGCCCAATGTTCCACCCTGTTCTGATCTGTGCCCAATGTTCTACCCTGTTCTGATCTGTGCCCAATGATCCACCCTGTTCTGAAATGTGCCCCAATGTTCCACCCTGTTCTGATCTGTGACCCAATGTTCCACCCTGTTCTGATCTGTGCCCAATGTTCCACCTGTTCTGTTCTGATGTTCCACCCCTGATCTGATCTCTGCCTAATGATCAACCCTGTTCTGATCTCTGCCCAATGTTCCACCCTGTTCTGATCTGTACCCAATGTTCCACCCTGTTCTGATCTCTGCCCAATGATCCACCCTGTTCTGATCTCTGCCCAATGTTCCACCCTGTTCTGATCTGTGCCCAATGATCCACCCTGTTCTGATCTGTGCCCAACGTTCCACCCTGTTGTGATCTCTGCCCAATGTTCCACCCTGTTCTGATCTGTGCCCAATGTTCCACCCTGTTCTGACCTGTGCCCCAATGATCCACCCTGTTCTGATATGTGCCCCAATGTTCCACCCTGTTCTGATCTGTGCCCAATGATCCACCCTTTTCTGATCTGTGCCCTATGTTCCACCCTGTTCTGATCTCTGCCCAATGTTTCACCCTGTTCTGATCTGTGCCCAATGATCCACCCTGTTCTGATCTGTGCCCAATGTTCCACCCTGTTGTGATCTCTGCCCAATGATCAACCCTGTTCTGTTGCCCAGTGTTCTACCCTGTTCTGTTTTGTGCCCAATGTTCCACCCTGTTCTGATCTGTGCCCAGTGTTCTTCCCTGTTCTGATCTGTATCAGATGTTCAACTCTCTTCTGTTTTGTGCACCAATGTTACAATTCCTAACATTCTGCTCTGTGTCCTGATATTTAGCTTCATGATCTGATGTTCCACTCCACTGATGTTCTACCCAAGGCCCTTATATACTTGTCCATATGCTTCACTGTTTCACCCAATATCTTCAAGTTAAACTCGGGGCGGTGGGGTAGCCTAGTGCTTAAAGCGTTCGCTCATGACACCGAAGACTCAGGTTTGATTCCCCATGTGGGTACAATGTCATAAGCCCATTTCTGGTGTCCTATATCTTGCTGGAATATTGCTAAAAGTGGCATAAAACCATACTCACTCAACTCACAGGCCTAATGTGTCTGACCGCCTCCGTGGTGTAGTGGTTAGAGTGTCCGCCCCGAGAGCGGAAGGTCGAGGGTTCGATCCCCGATCGCGTCATACCAAAAGACGTTAAAATATGGTACTTGTTGGTCCCTGCCTGGCGCTCTGCATTAATGGGTACAACAAGGACTGGTCGGCTCGGAGTCAGTATAATGTGTCTGAGTGGGGTATTCATGCTTCACTGCAGCATGGTATCTCAGTGGGCTAGCACTATAAAACCAGCTTAAGTCTGGGCTAGTACAAGCAGCCTCACATACACATACACCCGCATGCACGTCGTCATATGAGCGAAATATTCTCAAGCACGACCTTAAACCCAATTTCACCTCACCTCACCTCACCTCACCTCACCTCACCTCACCTCACCTCACCTAATGTGTCTCGTTTCTATTGCAGATAACAAAACCTAATGAGAAACTTGGGATCAGCTTCAGAACGAAGAAGAACACTTATGCAACAGTGATCTCCCATCTCAAAGTGAGGGTGACCAATGACGCCATTATTGAGTGTGAGGCTAACAACGAGCCAGTGGGAATAGGTCTGCGAGTCAAGACTAGTCAAACCAAAGTCAAAGTTATAAAAGGTATGAGACAATCTCTTTCTTCATTTGGTATAGGCTTTAGGTATTTCTTGGTTTACAGGACCCTTGAAGATCCGGGTTAGAATTGATCTGCAGTAGCCCATGCTTATCGCAAGATGTAACTAGAAGGACTGGGTGGTCAGGCTCACTGACTTGTTTAACACATGTCCTCGTATCCCAGTTGTGTAGATCCATGCTCATGCTGTTAAACACAGGATTGTCTGGTCCAGATTATTTACAGACTGTCGCCATATAGCTGGAACATTGCTGAGTGCGGTGTGAAATAACAAACAAAATCATATAGTTTGCGGACTAAAATGTCATGAAAAAAGCCCACTTCAGTTTCAGTTTCTTGTTCTTCAGTAGGTTATGTGAATTGTTGTGATTCGTACAATTTTGGACCCGTGAAGATCCGGGTTAGAACTGATCTTCAGTAACCCATGCCTGTCGTAAGAGGCGAGTAACGGGATCTGGTGGTCAGGCTCGCTGAATTGGTTGACACCTGTCTTTGTATCCCAATTGTGTAGATCGATGCTCATGCTGTTGATCACTGTATTGTCTGGTCCAGATGTCTCATCGTTTGAGGTATTGTAACCATCTGACTTCAAGTTTAACTTGTTGTATATGCAAGTATGTTGTGGACATGCAAGTTCAGAGAATTTTCCAAAATAGTTATTTCCATGTCTATTTTTTCCACTTTAAATATTTTGAGGTCTGTTGAATCTGTAACAAATATCTTATTAGCTCACGTGGGCACATGAATGGGATAGAAGCTGTTGTTGATGCAGAACAGTTTAATGTGATGAAAACTTTTATACTTAACCTTGGAATGTCAAGATGCTTTCATCAGTATTCCATGATCCCAATTGGACCGAGGAAAGATGGTTTCTTGATAAAGTGGCCAGGTATCAACGCCTGTGAAATATACCACCCCTGCTGTCAGGATGTACATTTCGCTGTTGTAACTTGCAGTCAGGGAAACATGATATTTGACGTGGCTCTGTTTGTCAGTGAAACACAGGCATGTGGGTATCCAGGTGGCCTTGTCATTACCTCCCTTGATTGATAAAAAACCTTGGAATTGTGTGCAGGAAACTAGGATGTTCAACTGAAACCTTTGGTTCTGGGTTTGAATCCCAATTTATCTTGATTATTTGTTAGATTTGTCAGTGCCTTACCCATGGTCATAGGTTTTACCAAAGTGGTAAATTTGTAAGAGAAACTTGCCTCACAACTGAAATATTTTTAAATGTAGATTTTTTACATGATGTGGATTACACACTCATGTGCTCACTCACTCACTCATACACCAAACCCATAATGATCTGGGTTAGAACTGGTCTTCAGAGACCCATGCTTGTCATAAGTGGCGAATAACAGGATCGGGTGTTGAGGCTTACTGACTTGGTTGACACATGTCATCGCAGATCAATGCTCATAACATTGATCACTAGATTGTCTGGTCAGACTCGACTATCTACAGACCACCACCATATAGCTGGAATATTACTGAGTGTGGCGTTATATACAACAAACAAACTCATATCACCACTAACTAAGTGGATTCAGTGACTGATGGTGTGATTCATTGAATCATTACACAATTCACATAATGATTACCTCACATGAGTACAATGTGTGAAGCCCATTTCTGGTGTCTCCCACCATGATATTGCTAGAATATTGCTAACAGTGGCATAAAACTAAACTCACTCACTCATATACTAACTATACAATGACTGATTCAGTACATGAATGTGCATATTCTGCAACAGAATAGAATCTTCATATCAGTTCTCATCTTCAAAAACTTTCTAAATTTTCATTCTTTAGTCATGGTATCACAACCTAAGGGTACTTAAACCGTTTGGTAAAATTGACAAATCACATATAGATGAAAGCATAAACTTCTCTTCATGCAGTATTTCCACAACATTTGCTATATTTCAGAGATAATATATGTATAATATATGTGACTCAAGCAGATTTGATTTTTTCAATCACATTTTGAAAACTGAAAAGTAGGCAAGTTTATTTTTTGGATTACTTTAAGCATCAATATGAATATATTCGCTTGTATTTGATCTTTATCAATCTAATTTCAATAGACCTGTAATTAGACATATGTATTTTCTTGATAAAATTAAATTAGAATGACATTTATATGTTGAAAACATGCTGTTGTCAAGGTAAAATTTAACTTTAATATGAATTTAGATCCCCAAATGGGCCTCTAGGTCCAGCTGTTCCAGTCATTATCCCCCTTGGCTATTTCAGTTTTCTGGGAGGTCTGGGTGTATCTTTAAGGCTCCACCCCCATGTGTTCTGTTATGCTAAAACCTCCTCAGATACAAACACGTATATGCGGTGTTGGGGGTTCAAACGAATATAACAGCCCTCCAAAGACAACCTTATGGTTTGTTTGAAAAGAGGCCATATTCCCCTGTGTTTGGTGTAAAGGTGGCATGGTCTTTGAGAGTTTATAAATGCCATGCTTTGAGAAAATAAGCTTTGCATTAAACAGCCTGGCATTGACACATCAGGTATTCCTGCAAGTTCAAGAAGTTCCAGCGATGTTGGTCTTCTACTTACAGCATGTGCCACTCAGGCCTTGAATTAATGTTTATGCACTTGAAATATGGGGAACTGTTATCTGCAAAATGCATTTGTTTTAATATGGAGTAAAAATCATGATTAATTTCTTTGGTTGACTCTGCAAACCATATCTTCCGTGAATAGTGGTGACTGTTTCGTAAGAAATTCCATGAATATATTTCCCGCCATGTCACGTATGTGAACATATTTTATGATTACTCAGTGTTTTAATAGAAAGATCAACAACACTTGCATGATGTTTCTCTTGACATTGATATTTTACCAAATTAGTCTGTTGTAGGTGATTCAGTGCATTGAATGAGAATTTTTGTCCCTTGTCTTTGGTACGTGGACCAGAAACTTCAGTATTCTGAGAAAACATGACATTTGGCACAAATAGGGAGTACCTTGGTTAAACCCAATTCAGTTATTTTTCTCCATTTAGATTCTGACTTTCACATAAAAATTGTGGTCAAGTATATGAAAATATTTTACATGCTGGTTTGATTTGTCGTTTGAGAGGAACTTTTTGGTAATGTTATTACTGCTGTAGAAATGATATGTTCAGTAAAGTTACTATTTACATGCTTAAGTGGGTGATGATTGAAGTGGGCGGTGATATAGACTGATAGGCCTCCTCAAATCATCTTTTAGATGTATGAGTGAGTATGGTTTTATGTCACTATGAGCTATATTCAAGTACTTTCATAGAAGGGTGGCACCAGAAATGTGCTTCACACCTTGTACTGATGTTGGAATCAAACCAGGTCTTTGGCATGACAAGCGAACCCTTTAACTACTTGGCTACCCAACCCACCTTTCAATGTAAGAGGTTAATGTTTTGATGCATAAATCGGGGCTTTAAAATTTTCCAAGTTTATATTAAATTGATGTTTTGTATTGTGATTCTTGAAAAACAAATCAATGTAAACATGATCACAGTTACTTTTGTCCGTGAGTTTATATATCAGTGTGGAGCATCTGATTTGTCTTAAGGGACAGTGGGTTAGTGTAGTGGTTAAAGTGTTTGCTCATGACACCGAAGACCCAGGTTTGATTCCCCACATTTGTACAATGTGTTAAGCCCATTTCTGGTGTCCCCAGCTGTGATATTGCTGGAATATGATAAAAGCAGCATAAAACCTTACTCACTCACTCATCTGATTTGTCTTAAGGGGTATTGGGTTAGCATAATGGTTAAGGCATTCAATCATCACTTCAAAGGCCCAGGTTTGATTTCCCTCATGGGTACAATGTGTGAAGCCCTTTTCTGTCATGCTATTGATGTTGCTGGAATATTGCTAACAGCAGTAAAAACTCTCAACTCACACAGAGCCAACTAATCATGTTTACAACAACAAGTGTACATATTTATTTAAGGTGTTTATGCAATATGCTTATTAATGACATAATATGAAGTCAGTTGATTATGGGAGGGGCCCTAATAGCATTGATTATTGATAATGATACAATTATGTTGCCAATATTTCTTTGGCCTTTTGATGTAGATCTCAATTCACATGAACTTTGATGAGAGTTCAAGGCTTTATCCTGACTTGTTGAAAGGCTGATATTTTGTTCCAAGTCTGCAGTAAATGTCAGTCAGAATTCTCAAAGCAAATATGTTAATGCAGTTTTAATTAATGTGATGGTTAGTTTAGATGATTTGTGTTTCACACATAGCTCAACTAAGGAATGCTTAATTTTACATTTACTGTATTGCAGTGAGTAGTTAGGCCGCACATAATGTAAAATACCTGAAATTTTCGAAAGAAAAGTAAATAAAATCTGATTTTGAAACAAAAAGATATTTTACATTTTACAGCCCACAAACAATAGGGCCTGTAGGCTCCCTTTGCGGCACCAACTTGCGATATGCGAGACGGGTCCCAGTTTACTTCGGGTACCAAATTTCCGGTGACAAGCATATATTTAAGAACCAGTTCTGGTTCCAAATTACACAACCGCCAAATATAACTTTATTAGATCTGACCAAGTGTACGTTGTTTGTCACTGGGAGTACTAAGGTCGCGCGCAGTGCCGTGAGCTACTTACGAGCCCTATTATTTTCAAATCCTTGATACATTCTTGTGGTTACATGAACTGTATCAAAAAAGTTTATGAATATTTTGGTGATTTTTGTTGTCAAAATGTGTGCTCAGTCATTACTACACAGAAAATGCTTCTTTCCCTCCTCCTCTCTCTCTCTCTAAAACACACACACACCCCCCCCCAATATTCCTGATCCCTACCTTTTTTTGGTCAGTATAAGAATGATATAGTTAATGGATTAGTGAAGGTATGTTATGTGGTATATATACAACCTTCTGAGACAGTGATGTCGACATTTCATGTGCAGTGTATTGACAACTGATCAGGTATGATGTGAGTATATGTGATTTGTTGAA